AGTGCTTCTATTGCATTTTAAAGTGCCTGCTTGGTTCGCCAGCTTCTATGAGGAGAGCCGGCGAAGAAGATGGTCCTGGACTATGATGAGACGCAGGTGGCTACTGAGTCCCAGCTCGATGCAGCAGCAGCCGCAATTTCTATGATCCCGGATCCCCCCGTGCCCAGCCTTGAACACAAGAGATTTCTGATGTAGCAACTCTAAAGTTTGTAGTTTGTGTACTGTCATGAGCATGGCGAAGATTCATGTCTGCTATTCTGTTTGCTGGTCACGCTTGCATCCTAGGCTGTCACACGTGAGGATCAGCTGCTCCTGCGCAAGCGCAAGGCCGAGGAAGCTGAGGCAAAGAATGGGCGGAGGACGGCCGCCAAGTCAAGGCCTCAAAAGGCCAATGAGGATTCTGGGGTTACCGAGGCACCTCTAGAGGCTTTGGAGGAGGCCCCCAATGAAGTCCCAGCGGACTCCAAGGAGGCACCATCAAAGGATGTGAGTGATGAGGTTCCCCAGGCCCCCAAGAAGAAAGGTTGGCCGAAAGGTAAAGCTAAAGCTAAAGCCAAAGCTTCCAGCCGGGCAGCGACAGTGAAGGCAAAGGCTAAATCAAAGGCTGCTTCGAAACCTAAAGCCTCAGCCAAGAGCAAGCAGCAGAAGCCACGCGATGATGAGCATGATGAGGAGGAACAGGCAGGAAATGATGTGATGGATGAAGGTGATGACAAGAATGCGGGGGAGGAGCCGGCGGAGAAGCGCGAGGGCGGAAACAAGTGCCCAGCAGCCCGAACAAAGGAGGTCCTTGCAAAGGGCAAGGCTGCACAGGCGAAAGGCAAAAAGGTGGCTGACTCCAAGGGGCTTGATTCTGACTTTTGGCAACATGAGATGCTTGTGTACATGCTTAAACACAACTCACACCTCTGCCTTTTAAAGCGTCAAGATCTAAGGAGACAGAGGCGCAGAAGGCGCGCTCCAAGAAGATGAACCTGGCTTTGACCCACTGTAGTGTGATGGGTTACTGGAGTCGCCCGGCGGTGGGCCTGAAGCGCGCGACCGATGGCAAGCAGGCAACTGTGTGATATTGGGTTGAAGCTGGCAATGTCTATCGGTGTTTTTGGTTTGTAGTGATTCTGCTCATCTGTTGTGGTTCCTTGTGAGATCTTCTACTTCAGCATCAAGGGTGTCACCATGACGCAGTTGATGGATGCGGCTGTGGAAGCCGCTGCCTAGCCCAAACATTACTGGGAATTGGTCTCATTGCATTCTGCCATTAGTTGCATGGACCATGTGGTATGAAGACTTGATCTGAGGCTCGGTATATGGATCAGAACCCCGAGGACAAAGCAGGGCTTGACCAGCTTGTTCAGCGCAAGAAAGAGCAATTGATGAAGATGGCTACATAGGCCAGCGCACTGAAAGAAGCGCAAGCTGTTTTCTTTGTTTGTGGAAGCGTGATGAAACTTCCATTCTTGCACATGAGCTTACCTGATGATTATCATCGGGTCAATTGGCATGCTGTGTGGGGCTGGCTAGCCGGCTGAATGTGTTCCAGCCTGAATGGGATTCACGTGCTTAGTCTGTGGTGGGCTCTTCCTGTTTCTTCTTTTAAGTTAGGCAAAGGGAATCTACTCAAAAAAAATTAGGAGTGTATACGCCTAACTGCAGGGCATGTGATTGGGGCCGGGCTTAGCGAAGCAAGGTCGGCAGGCCAATGCGAGTGCTTTGACTCGCACCCTCGCCATTTCTGCGCCGAAAAAGAACTCTTCCAGCATGATTGTTGTGTGCTGTGCAATTCCGATGCCACCACCCCATGGGAGCCTGTAGCCCTGAAACCCTAAGGTACTAGTTTAAACTGATGTGCCTGCCGCAGGTGCCTTGTCATGGTCGTGCCCAAGTCACTGCAGGGCCGCGTTCTGGACAGCTCCTGGGGCAGAACTGATCTGAAGATTCGTCATGCTGGCACATTTATCTGTGCTGCTGAGTGAACGCTTTGCCGTCATGATGGTCGTACATGTGGGCACATGTGCACAAACCTCGTGACTTCTGCAGCTTGGAGCTTCTAGCTTCTGTAGTTACACTTTCTGCCACAGCGAGTGATACGGCTTGAATCGTTTACAAGTACAGCAGAATCAAAGGCAAGGACCCCATTAAGTCCCACTATCGTCCCCCAAATTATGCTCCTCAAAAACCTCAACCCTCACTGAGCCCATGTCTAGCTCTGCAATTCTTGCCTAGATCGTGTTACGGGTATGAGCAGGTCCACTACCAGGGCTAGACATCAATTTAAGGGATGGCCACTTGGAATGATGACATGCTCCGTGTCCTCTTTCACCGATTGGTTACACTGCGAGCCCCGAAGGCCAGCCTTGCTCTGCTGAACATGCATAGTGCGTTGCTTACATAGTTTGCATTCCTGGGTCCCTTTGATCAAGAACCTTTTACCTGACCCCCTCGCCTTTGCAGGTGCTTCTACTTGTGATCCTACTCCTGGTGTGGGCGGAGAACTTGAATGTTCAAACAGATGCAGCTGGTCAAGGCAATTAGTGTTTCAAAGGTTTAGGGTTTGTGGGGTTTGGGATTGATAGGGTTAAGGGTTTCCAGGGTTTCTGGGGTTAGAGGGTTCGCGGCGTTGGTACGCTTTAGAGACTGAAAAGGCTGAGAGGGTTTACACGGTTTCTACAGGGCTCGGGGTCTCCATATGAAGGGTTCACAGCCCAAATTAGGGTTTCTGTACCCACGTGTTTAGGCTCCCGCCCCTCGCCTACAAAGATCGTGGGCATTCAAGGTTTTGGAGGGGATACAGTATACGGGCACGTCACTTCATGTGACAGCATATGTCTCTACTTGGACGGACCACATGTTGTGTTCTTGCCAGGGTGGACAGGACGAGGGGCATAGTCAGTTCATGAACCATGTGTATGTAGCTATATAGAAATAAATACATACACAGATTCTTGGGCTTCGGGTTTCCAAGGTTGATAGGGGCGAAGATTGTATAGGGTGGGTTATTTTCATACAGGTCCGAGGGCTATGGGAATTTCTAGACTTGTGTTGGGTTGAGCACTGATCGAGAGCTGAAGCAAATCCTCAAGTCAGGGCGAATTTAAATTCGGGTTGTTCTCTGTCTTCTCGGGGGCTCATTCCTGAAGACTCTATAGGTGCACAACTCCAGGAAGTGTGACATGCATCTCTGGCCTCATATATGAATTAACAGGTTAAGCGGTGTTCTGAGAAACCCCAATAAATCTCCTCGGGTGCACAATTCCAAATCTTCCAGATCCAGTTACATAGTGGTGCACAGCTCCAAGTAGGAGAGTCTTCCAGATCCAAGTAGTTGGTGGTGTACAGCTCCAAATGGGAAATTCGTCTAGATCTAAATAGATGGTGGTGCACAGATCCAAATAGGATAATCGCCTAGATCAAAATAGATAGTGGTGCACAGATCCAAATCGGAGAATCGTCCAGATTAATTTACATGGTGCATGGCGCTGTATGCTGCTCTGTTCCACCTGGGGTTCATGCAGACTCACACAACTCCAAGTCAAAGGTGATAAAGGGCTGACGCCAACACTTTTGTCAGGTCACTTCGACAAAACTGTAGGTTTGTGGAAAGCCCAAGCCGACATGAGATGACGTGTTAGAAATCAGATTCCTGTGTGAATTCACTGGGACCTCTCCGTCTATAGACATGTTGGTTTTCCATTCTCAAGAATTGGGTCAAAGTCTCGGGAGCTTGAGGCTACATATTCAGGCTACATAAATGACTGCAGGACGGTGATTTGGATTTGTGACGTTTGTGGTGCACAACTCCAAATAAAAGGCCGCTTTTCTGGAATGCTCTTGCCTCACCGACGCATGTGCATGCATGGGGACGTTAATCTGTTCAGGAAATGACCATGAGGATGTCTTCACTCGACATGTGCAGCTGCATCAGTTATTCATGGTCCCTCTCTCGCGAACCCCTAAACCCCTCCCCATGCAGCATTCTTATTCTGCGCGAACGTTGCCTCCCGCTTTCTGGACGAGTTTGTAGTTTGCATGTGTACCACGTAATTAGGCTTGATCAAGGTTTATAGTATTGCTCGGGTTGATAGGCTTCATAGGGTTGATAGGGATCTTGATTAGGTTTATCTATATAAAATATGTAGGGTGTCTAGCGTTTGCAAGGGTTTTGTAGGTTTCATCTTAGCAACCTGTGCAGATCAAGGTTTATACGGTTCGTGGGGTTCCTGGGGTTGGTGGGGTCGGTAGGGTCTCTAAGGCTTTTCGATATATAATTTCTATAGGGTTTCTAGGAACGGAGTCGGGTCTACCTTGCATACTTGTACAGTTGGTGGGACATTGCAGGGCTGGGGCTCTGAAGCTTGCGCGTGCCATGACAGGACGCAATTCGCAAAATCATGGTTGCCCTAAGTCTCCAAATTTAACAAACCCCATATATAGACCCTAGAAAACCTGTATTTGGAAACCTTTAACGAACTGCACAAGCCCCAAGAGATCCTTTGGTGCCTTTTCCTGTACGCGCATATGCGAAGCTATTCCCAACACTGAATCTATTAAGACCTGAAACCCAGGGAAGTCCCACAAAGACCAGAAAGCCCAGGAAACCCCGAACGCGGTGCAAGTTGATTGCTGCGCATGGCATGCTTGTGTTGTTAACCGTCATGTGGGTCCTTTCCCGAATACAATTATAGGGGTTGGTGATGAAGATTGTGGAGTCTAGGATTGCCCGGCTGCGCAGGTGTTGCAGGGGTTGCATGGGGTTTAGACAGGCAATGGGCAATGGAGATCTTAGTTTGTGTATAACAGATCTAGAGAGCCTAGAACCCTGTTATCCAATGCAACAACATAAAATCACAGGTCTCCTGGACTTTCTAGAGGAAGCTTAGAGTAGGGTTTTTCTAATTTCGAAGGTTTGCCTACAACCTTGCCCTGAGGGGTGGCAGCTGGAATCCTTCATCCAATGTGTATGAATCACGGTTCTGGGGCCTTGGGTTCTACCTGGATCTGAGGTGTTTGAATGGCTGGAATATTTTGCTGGTGATGCCCAGATCACCAAACATGTGGCGGCGTGTGGGTACAAGGCTCGCAAATTTGACATCCGCTACTGCTCGACCTTCAAATCCCAGAATTATATGGATCTCCTAACACCTTCGGGCATGGCGTCACAGACTGAGATGCGTGCGAAGCAGCAAATGCCATCATCATGCAGATAACGTAGGATCCTGCTGTGGCAATGTCTTAGCATTTGGGTCTAAGGTTGGCTGTTGCTGGTGTTCTTTCGGCAGTTCACCACAAGAATGTGGTGTGGCTGGGCTTACTTTGCTCATCCTTTACCCGAATGAATGTGGGGACTAGCAAGAGAAGCTATCTCGTGCCCCTGGGTAATACGATGGCCAAGAGTGTGGCGGCATCAAATTGCTTGGCTGCGAGGACTGCAATTAATGTTGCTAACAGGCCATGTATGTTTCTCAGGTGACCTCCAGGTTCTTGTGCAAATCTTACATGACTTTGGAAGGACATGCCTTCTCCTTTTGATCATAATCTCCATGGGAGGGGTCTTCGTGCTGGAGCAGCCGGCATTGTCTTGGTTTGAATGCTTCCCGCGCTTTCGGGCCATTTGTGCCCTGGTGAAGATATGGCGTGCAAGCTGGTACATGCTTCATTACGGGGCTCCGACACCGAAAAGACATTTTGCCTACAGCAACTCACGATGCGTGCTGAAGTTAAGCCGGGGCAAATTACGAGGATGGCGCAAGAATGTGTCTGCAAAGAGGCCCGTTCGACATTACCAAGACAAGCATGGCAAAAAACGTTATGTGGGCACGAAATTCCTGACGTCCACTGGGTGGGCTTCTGAGTTGCCTGCTTCACGATTGTTAAATCAGCCAGCATCATCACAGAATTCCTTACAACTCATGCTTCTACGGTGCTCCTAAGGACGTATCCTGCTGAGTTTGGCGCGAAAATTGCTTCAATGGTGGACCTCATTCATGAAACGAAGACAACCTCCCAGCCTCCTGTGCCTGATGACGTGGCTTCCGCTGTACTAGTCCTGTACAAGTATAGGGTTTATAGGGTTTAGGGTTTATAGGGTTTATAGGGTTTATAGGGTTTATATAGGGTTTAGGGTTTATAGGGTTTATATAGGGTTAAGGCCATGATCTGAATTGCGGGTAGCATCCCAGGTGCCGTCTGTGGATGAGATTTTCAAGAGCCTCGATTTTGGAGATTTATGGTCCGAAGGACAAATGGTGGAGGTGGTGCAATACTTACGTGGCAATCGTCACTTGCAGATACCTGAGTCCTGGCGTGAATTGCTGCCAACACGTCTCCCTGAGTGATTTAGGATTACCTGCCTAGAAGGCAATAAAGGGCAAACGACTGCCATGAACCTCGAAGCTCGCTCAAAACCGAAGAGTTGTGCTGCTCTGCCCTTTCTCTAGACAGGCCTTGGTCATTCTGCATGGTACGTTGCAGCAGAATCATCCACGCCTTTGCAGTGTGGTTCGACCAGGGCAGTTGTTATAGTCTCAGGGAAAGTTAAGCAGAGGGACTGGGGTGTAATTAGGGACGCTTCAAGGTTTTCGGAATGGTTTTTTAGAGTAGAAACAGAAGTCAACCCTTATAGGCTTATAATTGATTCAGCGTTGGTTTTGTGTAAACTACTAGGAATGTTTTTTTGGTCTGGGCTCATTTTTTAAAGGTTTTAGGTTGGATCTGGAATGTTGAAATGCATGTTGAAAAAAAACCCGAAATGGTGAAACAGATGTTGAAAACCAAATCCGTACCAAATCCGTACCAATTCCGTACCCGTACTGAACCCGTACTTTTTCAACATATTGGTGAAAAAAACCCAACAAGATTTTTCAACATCTGACCCTGGAAATCTGACTCTACTGCCCTGGGAATGATTTTTCGGCCATGGCCTATGATCTCCTGATCCCACCTGGTTTTCTGCACCCTTGAGGAGGACAAGTCAGACAATTGCAGCATCCAGACATGTGCTCGAAAATCTTGCCAAACAGATTCTGCATTGCAGGACGAAATTGTGAAACCCTTCATGAAAGGGCTTCACTTGTGCCGTGTCTCAGAAATGGCTGCCTGCAGTACCCTCTTTCCAAACCCATATCTAGCCTATGCAAACCCCTCCAAACCCATCCCAGGTTGGGTCATGCTGGCCTTCGACATCCTTTATGATGATGCGATTCCATTCTGACGGAAAAGGCGGCTTGGAGTTTTCTCGGTTCGTGCTGCTTATAGGCTTGATGAAAGGTTTGATCCTGATAATCTATACGGGGTTGATATATATATATAGATGTATGTAGTATCCATGCATGTCATGTTTAGTGATGTGAAAGACCGATTTAACGATCCTCGCCTTCAAAAAATATTTCAAGG